AGGGAAAGTGCCTGTCGCCCCCGCCCCAGAATCCCACCCACCCTGGCAGTCCTCCCCGTCCCTCCCCGACTCCTCCCTGCTCTCCCCCACTCGGACCCCCCACCCCCTGCCCTCCTGGCCGCTTCCACCTGGGATCCGGGCCTCGCGCCGGGAGCAGGGTCGGGCGGGGTCTCAAACCCTCCGCGCCCGTAGGCTCCCATTCCTTGATGTATTTCGGCACCGCGGTGTCCCGGCCCAGCCTCGGGGAGCCCCGGTACTTGGAAGTCGGCTACGTGGACGACACACAGTTCGCGCGGTTCGACAGCGACGCCTCGAGTCCGAGGATGGAGCCACGCGTGCAGTGGTTGAAGCAGGAGGCGCCGGAGTATTGGGAGCAGGAGACGCGGGGCGCCAAGGACACCGCACAGACTTTCCGACTGAGCCTGAACACGCTGCGCGGCTACTACAACCAGAGCGACGCCGGTGAGTGACGCGGACCCGGGTCCGGGTCACGACCCCATCCCCGGGGTTGCCCGAGTCTTTGGGTCCGAGCACCACCCTGAGGCTGCGGGACCCGCCCGTCTCCAAACCCGGGAAAAGCGCGCGGGCACTTTTACCCGCCATTGAGTTTTGGCTTTAAGCCCTGGGGTTCGGGGTGGGGGAGGGGGCGGGGCTCCAGGGCGGAGCTGACCTCGGGGGCGGGGCCAGGGTCTCACACCATCCAGTGGCTGTCTTCCTGCGAAGTGGGGCCCGATTGGCGCCTCCTCCGAGGATACTGGCAGTTCGCCTATGACGGCGAGGATTACATCGCCCTGAACGAGGACCTGCGCTCTTGGACCGCGGCGGACACGGCGGCGCAGGTCACCCGCCGCAAGTGGGAGGCTGCCGGAGCAGCCGAGCATCAAAGGAACGACCTGCAGGTCACATGCGTAGAGTGGCTCCGGAAGTACTTGGAGAGGGGGAACAAGACGCTGCTGCGCACAGGTACCAGGGGCCGCGGGGCTTCCCACGATTTCCCCTCCAGCTGAGGCCTCCTAAGAGGATAGGAAGAACTGGGATCCACAGCAGTATATGGCCCTCCCCTGTGTCGGGAGACTGCTCGGGTTTTCAGATCCGGTCCCAGAGAGACCCCCAAAGGGTCTGTCTTTCTCCTAGAGACTGTTGAAGGATAGAGTCTCTTCAGGGATGGAGGAGGAGACCATTTCTGAAATAATTGATCAGCGTTTCCTTTTGGCTCACGGTGGCTTTGGGAACCTTGGGGGATTTTCTCAGGCTTTGTTCTCTGCCCCACACCCATGTGTTTGGGATATCTCACTTCACCTAGTCTGAGTCATTTGGCCTCCAGCCAGGTCCGGACCAGAAATCCCTTTCTTTTCTGCTCTCAGAAACCTGCCTTCTACAGTGGGCCGTCTCACCCTAATTCTAGAACTTTTCAAACAAGAAGAGATTATGTGTCTAGGCTGGTGTCTGGGTTTTTGCTCCCTTCCCCAGTTCCAGCTCTCTTGTCCATTCTCAAGATGGCCACATGAGAATTGCCTCAGTGGCCCGAGACAGTTGTAAAATTCCTTAATTTTCTGACCCTTCTCTTCAGACCCCCCGAAGACACACATCACCCACTACCCCACTTCTGACCATGATGTCACCCTGAAGTGCTGGGCCCTGGGTTTCTATCCTGCGGAGATCACCCTAACCTGGCAGCGTGATGGGGAGGACCTGATCCAGGACACGGAGTTTGTGGACACTAGGCCTGGGGGAGATGGGACCTTCCAGAAGTGGGTGGCTGTGGTGGTGCCTTCTGGAGAGGAGCAGAGATACACGTGCCATGTGCAGCATGGGGGGTTGCCCAAGCCCCTCATGCTGAAATGGGGTAAGGACAGGGGGAGACCTGGGTATGGAGCCAAACTTGGAGAACTCAGGAGCCCTTCTGGAAAAATTCAGTAGGGTTGAGGCTGAGACCTCGGAGTCAAGGCCCTCACTTTATCCTCTCTTCCCAGAGTCCCCTCCTCAGCGCAGCATTCCCATGGTGGGCATTGTTGCTGGTCTGGTTTCCTTTGTGGTCATCAGTGCTGTGGTGGTTGGAGCTGTCATATGGAGGAGGTAGAGCCAAGGTACGGAAGGGGAGTGCTCTGAGTTTTCTTGTCTTTCTGTAGTGTTTCAAGTCCAGGTAGAAGTTCGTCCTGCCTTGTTTATGGGAAGTGCCATCCATGCACATGTGCTTGTCCACTGTGCAGCTCATTGCTACATTCACTCTGGAGTAAAGCTCTGTGAGAGTGAAGGGCAAACTTATCACCTTGATGAATGTGGTGATAGGATCTGATTTCCAGCAGCCACAGATCAGAGAATAAGGTCCTTGCTGAGGACAGACTCCAGGAGAATTGTTGGTCTAGCCCTGACATCTCTTTTCTTCATGTCCCCCTGATCCTGCCATAGGTCTGTAGTTACAGTTCTGGAAATTTCCCTGTGGTCCAGGTTATCAGTTTCATCTAGGATCTTGGGCTCTGCCTCCTCCGTGGCATCTCATGTGATATTTTCTTTCCATAGGTGGAAGAGAAGGGAGTTATGCTCAGTCTGCATGTAAGTATGGAGGGGGTGATCCCTGAGACCCTGGGATAGTGTAGACAGGACCCCGTGGGGAGCTCACCCACCCCAAAGCTACTCCTTTAGTCTCATCTCCTGGGGGCTCTGACCAGTTCTGTTTGTTCTAACGTAGGTAGTGACAGTGCCCAGGGCTCTCTCCACTGCTAAAGGTGAGACCCTGAAGGGCCTGAAATAGGGAGGGGAGAGGGGAAAGGGGCTATGCCTGGGAAATGGGGATTCTTTGAGTAGGATATCTTGAGCATGTGGTAGGCTATTGAGAACGTCAACACTTATATGACTAACCTGAATTTGTTCATGATTATTTTCTTCCGCAGTGTGAGCCAGCTGCCTCGTGGGGGACTGAGTGATGCAAGATTTGTTCACTTTCCCACTTTGTGACCAATGCCCCTGATATCTCTTTCTACAAAGGGCTTCGGCATGTGTCCTCGTTCCTATTACCATAATGTGAGGAGGTGGGGAGACTGCCCCCCGCCTCCATGACCCCACCCTACACTGACCTGGGTTCTCTTTCCTCGTCTGCTTTCATGATCCAGTAGAGGGAGAGTGGGCCACCTCCATCCCTGTCTTTACTTTATGTTTCACTGAGCTACAACTTCTTACTTCCTTGTTGAACGTAGGGCTCTGGATGTGAATTTTTTTTTCCAGTTCTGGTCATGAGGAGTTGATCAGTTAGTTAAAGAAGAAGATTCCTAAAGTTTGAGAGGGGAAAGAAATGGAAACCCTGAGAACCTCCCAGAAGCTGCAGGTTTGGTGTGCCGAGTCTGCTGTGGGTGGGGACAGGAGAAAGCTGTGAGGGGCCTAGCGTGGTGGAGCCTCATGCCCAGTTGGTACAACATGGATGTGACATGGTCACTGCTCAGCTGGGGAACCTCTTTGCGCTTTTGTCTTTGTCCCTCCAGTAGCACCTGCCTTTCCGGGACTGTGATCACTCAGGATATCACCTGGATATCTGGATATTGCCCAGACCTTGTCCTGCCTCCAGGACTATGGGCAACAAGACATTGTATGGCCGTGTCAGCTGAGGCTCAGGCCTGGGTCGGGCCTCAGTCCCGTCTCTGGGTGTTTATTCGTTGTTTCTTTGTTTCTGTAGAGGATTAGGCCCGTTCTCTTTTTTGTGTGGGAGTTCTGGTCTAATTCACCTGTGGGTGTCTCCTCGGTGACAGCAGAAGGAGATGTTTGGCCTGTCAGCGTCTGCACAAGGCCCTGGGTGGCCCTGTGCATAGGAATCTGTAGTATCCAGAGGTTATTTTCAGGCTCATTCAGGTCTTGCCCTCCTTCTCGGGCTTGATTGTTCTTCCCATCTTTTCTGAAGTCTTCTGAGAGGAGCAGATTCTAGCAGACAGGAAGCATGCCATAATTTCTTATTTTAAATTAGTTCTTGTTCTGTTTCCTTCCTCTGCTTGCCCACCCTTTGCCCTGGTGATCCTGGTGCTGGCTCCAGCTCCAAGTCATGGAGTTATGAAGCAGAGTTTCCTTAGATTTATATTTGGTTGGGAAATAGCACCTGTGAATCGAGGATGGTTTTTGAAAATGGACATCTCCTTGGTGTGCAGGGGAGTTGGTGTGAGAGTGGGGATGGGAGGGGGAGGGCAGTGCTGTGAGAGGAGCACAGGGGCACTAATGGCAGTGTGAAGGGTGATTGTGCTGTTGCTGCCACAGAGCTGCTGTGGTCTGAGGCTACATTAGTAAAGATACTGCCTCCAGATTAGGGAGGTGCTCTGCACCGATCGCTCCTTCTCTGTGTGTGTTGTGTGCAAGATATATGACACACTGTTTTCTGCATCTGGGAAACACGATAGAAGTTTCTGTGTTTAGGACAAGGCGCTGCTGGTCTTTACATCACACTTTTAGTAGCAAGAATGGAGATGAGGATTCCCACACGGCTGTGCATCGGCCTCACTTGTAGGGCTCGTTAAAATAAGCGATTCCTTGATCTTGCACCGAGGACTCTGAGTCTGTGGGTCCGGGGAGAGGCCTGGCGCTCAGCCAGATCTGGAGCCAGTGAGGTCAGCGATCAGAGCAGCCAGCCTGGGGAGGGGCATTAAAGCCACATTTAAATGTGTGTGTGTTTTTTTTTTTTGTTGTTTTTTGTTTGTTTTTTTTTTTATCTTTGGAGAGGAAAGGGAAGACATAATGTTGTCAGTATGAGATGTGGTGTTGTGAGATGTGTGTTATCATATCCTGGGGTATGGTCGGGTGGGAGGACTAGGGAGTGGTTCGCGGTTCAGTGTGACGAACACCTCGGAATGCTTGCTCTCGGCAACTACTTCCCTGATTGACTTTTCAGAGCAAACAATGGGATCTAAGCTTGTTCGAACTTAGCCAAAAGGTACTGTGCACACACACACACACACACACACACACACACACACATACACACATACATTTTATATGCATATAAAGTATTCTTTTGGGGAAGATCGTAGAACAGGCTTTGGCTACACAGCCAGGAACAGAGTCCACAAGTGCACGTTAGGGTGGGTCTCACATAGGAACTGCGGCCTCTGCTGCTGGGTACAGACGTCACTGCTCACACTGCTGCCTCCATTGAAGCAGGACACTGGCCCCTGCGGCTAGGACTGACGTCGCTGCTGCTTTTGGGACCGGGTGACACACTGCCACTCACGCCGCCTGTGCAAGTACATTCTGCACAGCTGCACCTTCTCTTTGTCACCAGGTCCAGCATGTGGTCACCTGCCTGGCAGAGCCTCATGCCATGTCTAACTGGAAGGATGTTGGGACAGCAGGTCCTTCCTCTTCTATGGAGAGAGGCGGCGTCTTCCAAAGACTCTAAATGTGGAATTCTCATGTAGGGGGGCAGTGCCGGTGCTGGGGGTGAGGGCTGGAGAAAGGACGGCTGATTGCCATTCTCGGAGCACGGACCTGAGGCTGCAGCTTGATCTGGTGCCCTGCAGGCACTCAGGTTCAGTTGGAGGAGCAAGTTTCTAGTAAACGACATCGCTCTTCTCGTTCCCTGGATGCTATGTGATTAGATGCAGCTTTGTCCACTCTGGTTTATGCTCACAAATAAGTGCAGTGGCGTTGTGGGCTGGTGAAGTGATTGCTCAAAACGTGTTTGCCCAGCCTCTGTCTCTTGCAAGGAGGAGAACACCTGGGTCTGTAAGACGTCAGGGGGTCTCTGCATGCACTGACATGTCATGTTAATGTTTATATTTCCCCGTGCATGGAAATACTCTGGGAGGAGAATCTCTAACATTTGTCAGCTTTATGTGATCCTCACAAAGGACTAAAAACCAACCATCCAGAAAACCCAAACCACCATCCTGGTTTTCTAGTGTAGCCATAGCGTCCCTCAGAGACTTAACTGTTAGTTAATAGCAATTCAACTGAGAAAATTTATTTTATTTTATTTTTATTTTTGAGAGAGAGAGGGTGCAAGTGAGAGAGGGGCAGAGAGAAAGAGAAGGAAAGAGAGAGAAGTGGAGCTTGAGCTCTGCTCAGCCGAAGTGGGACCTCACCTCACCCGATGTGGGGCTCGAACTCATGAACCATGAGATCATGACCTGAGCTGAAGTCAGATGCTAAATGACTGAGCCACCCAGGCGCCCTCAACCGAGAACATTAAAAGGTCGAATTGACTTTATTCAACTGTTCATGAATTGAGCAGTCTCCCAGCTAGTAAATAGAAAGGAGACATGGGGCTCCTGGGTGGCTCAGTCAGTTTAAGTGTCCGGCTTCAGCTCAGGTCATGACTTCGTGGTTCGGTTTGTGAGTTCAAGCCCCACGCTGGGCTCTGTGCTGACAGCTCAGAGCCTGGAGCCTGCTTTGGATTTTGTGTCTCCGTCTCTCTCTGCCCCTCCCCTGCTCGTGCTCTGTCTTTCAAAAATAAATATTAAAAAAAAAAAAAGAGAGACTCTTCCAGCTGCAGAAAGGAAAGGATTTTAAAGGCAGAGTGGAAGGGGAAAAAAGGAAATTATTCGTTAAAAAATGCATTGCTTTAAGCAAGGTGGCCCTTCTAAGGGGAAAGGAAGTGGTCTTTCAGTGGCTTACCTACTTGTGCTGAGCAGGAAATTCCAGGTTGGCTGACTACAGGTCACATTTCTGGGAGAAGCTGAAGCTGCATTTAGGTTAAGGATTAAGATCTTGGTGGTATTTGGCTTAAGTGACTTCATTTTGGGCCTTCTGTCTTCCTTTTTTAACAGGACCATGAACAGCTGGTAGCAGACAGAAGGACATGATATAAATGCTTACACTTATCTTATCCTTTGCTCCTGGATGAGAGGAAGCACAGACTTGCTTGCTCTCCCTCTAAATTTCTCTTTGTGGATCTGTGAGGGTTTTTTCCTCCATTCAACCAATGCTCTGATTCCCTGTCACCAATTCGATTCATTTCATCAGTCTTTTTTTTTTTTAATATTTATTTTTGAGACAGAAACAGAGCAGGAGAGGGGAAGGGGCAGAGAAAGAGAGACACAGAATCCGAAGCAGGTTCCAGGCTCTGAGCGGTCAGTATAGAGCCCCATGTGGGGCTTGAACTCATGGATGTGAGATCATGACCTGAGCCAAAGTTGGGCGCTTAACCGACTGAGCCACCCAGGTGCTCCCAATTCAATTTATTTCAATTCTGACACTGTTGACCTGGAGTTAGCATGAGACCCACAGGTGTGAGGACGCTTCCTACAAGATTGCCCTCACTTCACAGGCACATCTCAACTGTTCGTTCCCACGTCGCCTGCACTTTTGTTCCACTTGGCTACAAAGTTGAAGGTACTCTCAAAGTTCAATAATTTGCTAGAATGACTCCTAGAACTGAGGAAAATTCCATGCTTATTATTGTGGTTTATTATAAGGACACACATGAGCAACCAGATGAAGAGGCACATGAGTGTGGGAGCGTGAAGGTCGCAGTTGCAGGAGCCGCTGTCACTGTGGGGTTGGAATGTACCACCCTCTGAGCATGTCGGTGTGTTCATTTCAGAAGCTCTGTGAACTCTGTCGTTTAGAAGCTTTTATGGAAGATTCATGATATAGGTGTGCTTGATTCCATCACTGGCCATTGGTGATTAAAGTCAGCCTCCAGAGCCTCTCCCCAGAGGTCAGGGAGGGAGGCTGAGGTTGCCAACTCTCTAATCATCGCTTGGTCTTTCTGGTCACCAGCCCCCAACCTGAAGC